TACCGGCTAAAACCCCACGGTGGCCGTCCTCGGCATTCTGGGGGTGGGCCCGGGATCTCCTAAGAACGCAACAGGGCCCACCCCACGCCGGGCCCCTCCCTCGAGATGTTATGCCTGTGTGCCGTGACGCACCGAGTTAACTTTAAACGCGTTTTTCTCAGGACTGCGTTTTTCCAAACGGCGTACAAGATATCTCGAGTTCTACCTTAGCAATTACATGAAAATTTTACAGTTATCTTTACTACAATATCTATTAGGCGTTGACGATCGATTCTTTTACATTTTCCCATTATTTTGTGAAATATAAATAAAAAAGTAACAAATTTTTTACCGAAATTCAATCGTTAAGTTTCAAATATCTGCCACTTTGTTAATTTTCACAAAAATTGAAATGTGGGATCGTCAATGCCTAGAGAATATATCACAGTTCGTGACATTTTTGGGATTTTGGATATAGTTAATTCGATTTGCAGGAGTCTTGTACGCCAGTTGGCCATCTGGAAGAAAAGATATTCCGAGCGAAGACGACGAAAGGCATAAGAACAAGCATTTTTTTATAGTTCGTAGTATAGTAAATTGAGATACAAAATTTTATATTAATCGATTATTCACTTTTTGCTGCACTGTCGTTTAAAAATCTTATATTTTACCCACTTGTTACTGTGTCCTAGCCCCTTAATTTATTGCTTAATTTCACCCTTCGCGCACTTCCGCCTTGACTTAATCAAGCGAATTTTCGAACAATAGGGCTAAAATAGGAAATTTTGCAGCCTTGACGGGGAAAGGGTTGAAGATTAAATCTGCTGTAGTTCAGGATTAGACTGTTTTCTTCGTCGTTACCGACTTCTCCCGTTTTTATTCGCGTTACAATAAACTCTACTGAAACGTACTTGAACAGTCTTCAGATTCCACTCAGGATGATTCATTATACCTAGTGCAACCGTCGCATTCGCAATTGCTCTTTGTAGCTCTTTGTACGTTTGAACTCTCAGTTTGATCCCGGGGAACATGTCTTCGATTAGGGACATGAACAGTGGCTCGTCTTCGTCCACCAATTTTGATAGATTCATGTCTCTGTAATGTTGTGATAAAAAAATACTGTACCTTCAAATTTTGTTAAAGTATCGTTATTTTGGTTTGCATTCTTAGTGTCTTCGTTTTCATTAGTTTTAGATAATGCAAAGCTTCCAGTATTACATTTGTAATGAACATCTGAATTATATCTTCTGGTATTAAAAATAAAGAAAAATGAGTAAGAGTTTAAAGAAAGAAGGTAGAGGATGTAAGAAAAAATCTCGTAAAAGTCATCTTGAATGAAAGTGGTCAAAATTTTTTTTTACTCTTTAAAGTCACCTTAAGGTCATAATATCGTTCATAGATATGCAAAATAATTTCTACAACCTTGGAATGACCTTAATCTTTGTAGAGATTTTTTTTTTATCATCACCATAATACACTTTTTGAAAGCATTCAAACTCCTTTTAATAATTTTTTTTCCTATTTTCAATACCAGTGGAGATAATTTAAATGTTCGTTATAAGACAACACCCTGTAGATAACATTTTATTGTACCTCAAAACCCTCATGAGAGTGGTTTCCTCAGAATCAGTAGGATTAGCCCTTTTCTGCGCTCCAAGTGTCCTCAAACACGACAATATATTCCTCAAACCAAAATCGTAATGCACCTGCTTGCTCAATTGTTCCTCGCATAATTTGTACAAAGTAAAAAACTTCCTCGACAGTAGAACGTTCTCTTTAAAGCCGCAAGCTGCCAGCTTCACACGCATAATTATCTAAACGAGGAATAAATACAAGTGACAAATAGAAGGATTAACGTTCAACAGAAGATAATCGTATTATTCCTGTTTGATGATACTTGTCTATCAGGGACCATCATAGCAACGCTTCTGAACTGTATCTTCAAGTTCTCTGGCAATTCCTGTCGACCAGCGTAGCCAGGATTCATAGTAATAAATATCCCAAATTCGAAGTTCAATTTGTACATTTCACCATCGCTGAACGATACAAATTTCATACAAATTTCATTAAAAAACCTATTAGAGAACCTTCCATTTTTGAAAATGATTTTAAAAAGAATTTAATTTCGCCAGATTGTAAGAAGATAGTTTTTTTAAGTAACCGAGGGTCTGTTACGTGATTCTGAAACTGTTACTTAAGTCGGTAAATATTTTTAAGACGTGACGAAAATGTAAAGAAGCATTTTTTGACAATTTTCAAAGGTGAAAATCTGTGTTAACAGACTTCTAATCGGTAAAGTGTTAAGATCCCGGTGTTGAACTGTGCTGAACGAGTACCTAAAGAGGAAATTCACTTTTCTCTCCTTTCTTGCGGTGAGCACGATGGCTATTTGCTGAGCAGCCACCGACAAAACCGGCAAATCGATGCGATTAAACTCATCGAAGCAGCCCCAAGAGCCGGACATGGCTAGTCCCTTAAATATTCTGCCCAGACCGCGAAAATCCATTTGGTCGGAGCAATTGAACACAACCACGTATTTTCCAAGGGCTTTCCCCATATCTTTTGTGGTCTCTGTTTTTCCAGTACCCGCTGGCCCAGCTGGTGCTCCACCAAAATTCATACCTAACGATATAACCCGATTAATATACAATTACAATTCTAAATTAATACGCAGACTAAGTAAAAACTTCATTTTTTTTTTTATTTTTATGTCCACTCTTCAAATGGACCGAAGAAACATTTGAGATCAGCTCACCCACTGCTTGAGATAACGTTATGTAGCATCTATCTGTAAGAGGAGTAATAGCGAGTCGATCGGTACAGCCCAAGAATTCATTCTGATAGATGAAATCTATGTCTGTGATCTTTATGGGAATATCCTCTGTTTCAGTGTCGTAATAGAATCTGCTCTGCTTCAGCCACTCGAAATCAGTCGAATTACGTATTCTTAGGCGACATAGTTCGTCGAATATGTCTCTGAAAAATTGGTGAAAAATTTGTATGGAGGATTGAAAAGATTTGAATCGAATATGGTACCTCTGGTGCACGTGAATTGTGATCAAAGCTTCGTATTTTGCCCTTGCGTATTTTGTTAAATCTTTCACAGTCACTTCTATTAGACTGTTCAGTAAATCAAGGAACCACTGATTCGTTCTTTTCATGATACCTCTGTCACGTTTTGCTGTGTTCAAAGCGACTTCTGCATCGCGAGTCCATAAGACTTGCAGAGCCAACAATCCCACCTTGAAGAATAATTGATTTTTAGTTAAAGAAAGAGTGGAGAACAGAGGTAATTTACTTGTAATATCGAATTGTCTATCAAACGTATGATATCAAACTCCTCCATGGCAAGGGTTTGCAATCCCTGAGAGATTACACTGCCCACCGAGGACTGATGAACCAGTAACAAAGTGTTCAACCAATTCTCTACACCACCGGTGCATAAAATTTCCTTCTCCAACACCACTTTTTCATTTTCACGCGAATACATGGCTATGATCTTCTCATATTCTTTCTCATGGAAGTCTAACTACAAAGGAAAAGACCTGAATTGTAGCTGTACCTAAGAAAAGGAGGATAGGATAGTTACTTTTCCAATATTGTCAAAGAATCCGTCGAGGTATTTCTGTATGGTGTGACAATCAGCTGCTTGGCCAAGAATTTCTAACAATGTTGGATCTGAGATGAAGCAGAACCTTGGGAATATGCTTCGTTTTGTCTCCAAATATCTGTGTAAAAATTGAAACAGTTGAAACTATGTTTAGATAAAAGTTAAATATATCTTGGTACCCGCTAAGAGACTTCTGACAAGATTCCAGTTGTTCCAGCAAATGTGGCAAGAATTGTCCCATAGTTTCATCCCCTGTGCAAGTTTCCACTGCATTCACTCTTTCACGAGCTCTATACATGATCTTCACCCAAGATTTGTCAATATTCTGCAACAATAAAATGTAAATTTTATGAGCTGTATTTTGAAGTTACTGTCTTACATTGAAACGCTTTGCTTCTGCTGGAAGCTGTTTGGATATATCTCCACCAATGAATACTGCCTCCAAGTATGCCCACAAGTTCTGAACATTCAACCACTTTGCCAAGATCTCAGAGGTGTTGCTCAATTTATTTTGCCACAATTGTATCTCCTTCTTGAATGGTGTATTGTATCTGAAGTAATCATAATATTCATGAATTGATGAACTCTGAATTACAGAAATTAGTAGATAATGTTGATTACCTATTTGCTAAGAGTGAGCTGATCACCATCAAGCTGTCCTCAAGTCTAGCTATTACCTCAATGGTTTCTGTGCCTTTTAACAGTAGTTCTCCTCTCTGCTTGAAAGCACTAAACTCCAAGTCCACTGTGGCCCATTCAGCAATGATCTGATGTAGTTTGCTTTCTATGTCTTGCTCTTTCACCGCACTGATACATATATCCTCAACTTCATCTTTGTACTTTAATAATGGAGCTTGCATCACATTGGCCAATGTAAATCTCTCAGATTCAACGTCAAAGTGGTATTTGCACAATTTCGACATTCTGTCCCAGTGTCTCTCCTGCATTGCTTTATTAGCCATCAGTTCCAACAATGGACAAGTTTCATTGAAGTCGTCAATCTTCTTCTTCAACTCAATGAAAGCTGGCCAATCCCTCATAGCCTTTGGTAATCGTCGACATCTAATATACACTTGAATTACTATGAATTAAATATGATGTGTAGATATAATTTTACCTGTTCTGAAAATCTCCTAGTTCAGTTACTATGGATTCAATATCAATGTCAGACCAAGGTATCTCATAGTAGCTGTCTATTGTTCTTATCACTTGCAGATATAAAGAGTACAATTTCTGTAATAAATTTACTTCCCTCTTTCTTTGATTAAGAGCTGGATATTCTGTCAGCTCAATACCAAACAAGCTTTCACCACTGCTGTAAGTCTCATACTTGTCCCATAAATCTTCCAAACGACCTTGGAAGAGTATAAGTCTAAGAGAATAAGTAGTCATTCAGTACAGTATTCAATATAAAAGATATAGTTCTACTATGTTACCTATCACTGGCTTCTTTGGCAGGAATCCCCTCAACCATTGGACCATGGTGCTCAAAGTCAAGATCAAAATCAATCACAGCTTCTTTGAATACTGCTACTCCATCGGTTAATTCCTTTTTTAATGGTTCTTGCATTTCACATATCCTTGCTTGAACTTGTTTGGCCTTATAAAAAAGATATGAAATAATGAATGGAACAAAGATGATAATTTTTTTCTACAAGTATTACCGTGTTCAACATGTTTGTAAAGTTGTATCTCAGACTGTCCACTATATCTTGTTCTTCTTTTGAGACAGGAATGTTAAACTTTCCCATTAGCGTGTACGTTTCCTCTATCAATATCAGTTCTATGTCCAAAGATATAAAATCATCTCGTATCTCGCCTAGACACTTCATGGCAATCCTCACATCCTCCAGATCTTTGATTGATCTAACTAGAACTTTATTCTTGTCGTTGATATAATCGGTGATCCTTTTTAGCTTTTCTTTGTATGTTGTAGACAACATTTGACCTAACAACGTCTTCCACATACGTGCTTCAACTAGAAGTGCTAATTTTAATTTTTCTGAAAAATGTTGAATAATTGAAGGATTTGTTCATTGATTAGTGAGGATTCTGATCATCAGGTACAATAATCTGTTACCCATGCTAATTTCTAAAGGTCCAACTATGTGCTTTTCTGGTAGATTTTCAATTTCGCTAACCAAATCATCATATTCCACGAACTTTTCTTTAATCTCTTGAATGATGGGTTCAGAATCAACGAAATTTTGAACGATATTGTCCCTCTCGTCGGTCCATATGTGGGAATATTTTAAGTACCTCTGTTCAAAGAAATATCATGCAAACTAATTATCAAACAGTGTACTTCAATGAAGAAATAAGACATACATTAGAAATTTCTGCAACATCTTGCTTTATAGCAAGGATTGCACCTTGCAGACTCATTACACTACGTACTATTTCCTTATGATCTGATATGACTTGATAATAATTCTTGAATGCTACCTGGTTATTCTCTGTATGAAGAAGTTAATGATATATTATCTAAAAAGAAATGTATTACTGTCATAAATGTACCATCATTATCATTAGATGAGGTAGCAAAATAGTTCTGTCCCCATGCAACAATCTTCTTATGGTTCTCTACAATGCTAATCACTAATTTTCCAAAATAATGTTGTAGCTCTTCTAATGGAGGTACTACCACAATATTTGGTATTTGTAAAACGAATGTAGTTAATAAGATGGGTGTTTCCTTTCTTGAGCCATTATTGTCTTGTGTTGAATGACTATAGGTAGGTGAAGAAAAAAGTAACATAGATGATTTTTTTAGTAATCTTCTTTTATTTAGGAAATTATAAGTGAAAATGGGCGAACCTTATCACAGTGACTTGTTTCTTTAGTGAGTCAAGAGAGTTCTTAGTGCATTTCACTAAAGCCTCTATAAGTTTATTATGGAAATATGCAAGTAATTCCATACAGTCACCATGCACTTTGCTTATTTGAACTTTATGGGTTCTTTCAATGGGAGCAAAACCTACAATTATTCAATGGATATAGATCATTCAGTCAAATATATTTTAAATCACTGCACACCTGGTTCATATTTTCCCTTTGTTAATTTTGTCTGTGAGATATGTTTATATATCCTATCTACATCCAGCCAATTATATTTAACATTTTGAACAGACTCATCAGTTATGAAGTCCATGAACTTATTAATGATTGTTGTAACAGCTTTTTCTGCTGCTGATGATTTTATTGCAAGATCAGCAGTCTCTTCAAGTCCAAAGGCAATATTGTCTTCTAGAAGTTCATTTGGATGTTTTGGATAATCATCAAGCTTCAGCAATATTGCTTTTGAAATTGATTCAAACACTTCATCAACCCTAGCTTCCTTCATATCTTTTATCTCTTTAATGAAAATTTGCATAGATGTAACAGCCTCCCTTATTTCTTCGCAGGCCTCAGCAATGTTCAAAGATGTCCATGTGATCACAGATAGACAAGGTTGAAAGGCCATTTCAAGATCAACAAGCACAATCTTTACTAAACTTAAGAACAATATAGGTATTGTTCTCCTGAAATTTTGAACAAGACATAACAACTTACTTCTTCATTCTCTACCAAAAGAATGTACCTCAAAAATGTACCTCAGTGTGTTATTTTCTTCAATCAATTGTTTCACAGTTTCATATGATGAAAAAATCCTGTCTTTGCAGAATGTTATAATTTTTATAAAATCTGGTATTTCCAAACCAAATCTAGCCATGTGTTCAGATTCACGTATTACTTCAATAATGTATGAATCAAAGTTCAAGTGATACTTATTTGTTTCTGGGTGTCTTATGATCAAAGGTGAAGCTAATGCCAATCGAACCTTTGCATTGAAACATGCAACAATTATTTATTTGCCTATTCCACTTTGTACTTAATAACTATACTTACAATCTCAGAAGAATCATACCATGCTTTGTGATATATCAATTCATAATGTATAAAGACACTAATTAAAGCATTGTAAATTTTAATACATTTTTGCATATGATCATGGGCAAGCACTCTTTTGCATTTTTTGTATATTTCCATTGGATCTTCGATACGTCTATAAAGCTGTCGAATCCATAAAATGCGACCAGCAATTGGAGGAACATTTCGTGGAATTGGTGGATCTGATCTATCTTCGTTGTATCTATCTCGTACATCTTCGATTTCTTTTTGGAACAACGTTATAAGCTCTAAATACTTTCTGTCAATTCTCAGGTGTTTAAACTTCAATTTTTCAAATCTACATAAATGGTTTATTATAAATGTATTGCAATTAACGAATTTGTATATCACAAAATAATATACCGTGCTACTACTCTCAATGCTTCTGTTATAGTAGGTGTTTCAGACACGCATTTGTAAAAGAAATTTCTTAATTCTACTTCTGTTTCCGCTACGCTTTTTTTATATTTATTATAATCAGTATTAAAGAACGGTTTTCTATGATTCAATGGATCATATTTGTGGGATGCAATCTCCTGAAAAAAACTTGAAAACTTGTTTGAAAATACATCTATTCCCTGTATTGCAGAACTATAGAGAATCAAATATGTCAATGCTGTCTGGAAAACATCCATGATCTAAAATAAATTTAATACATTTACAATGGTCACTCCAAATAAAAGGATAGCTTTAGTAAAATATTACTAACTTTTATTATTCTTGTTTTGAAGGTGTTAAACTTTCCAAATACATACATTTCAGACACTTCAAACGGTTTCTCATCGCTAGATTCTCTTACTTGTCTGCACATATCATTGTAATATTCAAAATACTGTTCACACAATTTAATGCAATCCTATAATTTAAATAACAATGCTGTAGCAAATAGATATATTCATGGGGATTTATTATATAAATATTTGCCTTTATTTTAGATATCATAACAGATTTTGATTCATTCCAAATGTTTATTTTACCATCTTCTGTTAAATATGCTTTGCATGCTAAAATCATTTGATTTGTCATCTGAAATTAGTGACCAAATTACCGAGATTGTATGGAATACAAGTATAAGATAAGATTTATAGCTTTTATTATTTCTTTTTGTAGTAATACTTTTACAAAGACTGCTGTAACCATTCTTCTTGTATTAAAAAATCGCGAAGTAGCATATATCATTCTGATAACATACATAAGAGGAGGTAGATATTCCCCCATTTTTGTTGGATCAAGCCTGTATAAAGGCTGGGTAAATTTTTCTAATGCATACAAATATTTTACATTATCTTGTGAAAGAATTTGTATTGTTTTAACATGATTTTCTAGCATCTTCCATTTCTACATGCAAGTGTGTAAAATACTTATTAACCTTGGATTAATTTAAAAAGAATATCTTAGTGTTGCTGAATATACCTTCATATGCTTTGATCTTATTTTTGTCAAAAAGTCTAGGTGCTTTTGAGTAACAGGAGATTGAATATATTCAGTGATCGACGAGAAACGGGCAAGCAGGCGTCTCCAATAACTGAGTTCTGCATTTGGCCCCATTGTTTCAGTTTCTCTGCGCAATTGTTGGCTTTCAACAACAGCCTATATTCAAAATACATTCTGTTCTATAATGACCTAACATAAGAAAGCTTTTTCTAAACATTACCCTTTCCATACTTTTCATCCACATTCTGACATTATTTTCTATAGCACAGATAGCTTCTGGATTACTAGCACTCTTTTTAGTATCTTCTGGAGTCTTCAAGTACTTATTATATACATCCCAGTCAGTGTAAAATTTTACTATATTTTCTAAATCTATTTTAGTCGCTAAAAGGAATATTAGCAAATAGAAATAATAGTTCTATCATACAAATATAAGTACAATTTCATATGAATATGAATTTTAATGTCTTACTGCTTAAAAATTCACAGAAATCTCTAAAATCGCAAATAAAGTTGTTCTTCACTTTTTCACCAGCTTCATCTTTTGATAATGCACCCCATTCTGTATTAGCAGTTATTGCTGGTAAATTTAATTTTAAAATTAACTCTGATACAGCTCCAAGCGCACTTTGAGATATGGGATCGACTTCCGCATATGCGAAAAATGTGTCCTATTCAAGAATTCAGATTAAAAAAAGAGATTATAATATGTAAAATTATTGTACACAACTATATGAAAAACATACTTCAAGAAGATGTTTAGATTCAAACTCAATGTCTGATCTTAGTCTGTAAACTATGACACATTTTCCAGATAACTGTTCACTGAAGCCATCGGTGACACAGCATCGTGTTACCTGACTTTCATGAGTATATTGTGGACTCCATCGTCCTGATTCTATTGTTACATATATGTTTTACATGAATTGTATCCATAATGAAAAAAAATATATATACAATAGTAGAATGATTTATAATACCCAATGGAGGTGCTTCCATAGGTTGAAAATGTATAAGAATTGCACGTTTTCCATTTTTCTGAAAGAAACTATCGAAAACCTCTATATACTCATCTTTATCAATGACTCCTTCTTCTAAAAGGTCAGTATCTATGTTTAAAATGAATGCAACAACTTCCAAGACCTGTCTATGAACTGCTTTCAGCAATCCTTGCCTAGCAGTTCTATGCTCTTTAAATTTTGCCTGTGTGCAGTAATAAACTTTAAGCAAGATAGTTTATTAAATGACATTTGTATTCTCTGATAATGAAAATAGTTACAAGACGTTCTTTTAATGTTTCAGTCTGTAATCCCTCTAAAGCAACTCTCCTCTTTAATAATTCAGCAATGCGACGGTCAATCGCCGGTTTTGTGTAATCTCGAGTTGCAAAATATGCAGTTATATGTGCCATTATTTTACAACATGACAGAGAACTTGCATTATATGCTCAATGCAAAGTGAACATCAAAGAATGTGTAAAAATTTGAATGATAAAGAACAAACAAATTTTATAGAGTGTGTTGAAAATTATTTGCACGCGTAAAAATAAAGTAAAATAATAAATTAAGAGGGAAGGATCAAAGGATCTATAAGATATTAAAAAACAAGGATATGAATCTTAATGTAGTTCGATTTTATTTTACATCTTTCAATCGTACATTTTATTGTACATTTAAAATGATAAGCATGCGCGTTGTAACCATTGTGCACATGCAGTTGCAGTGCATGTCAAATTGTAAAGGTTAAAGTAGACAGCGTAAATAAAACTATATCTACAAGGCATAAAATTGCGACGAAAAACGCTCACTAATAAATCATTGAAAGTGGCACTGATTCTCGTTTAATTTAATATTTCATTGCCAACATATACAGGATATGTATATTTAACATGTATTTTTATACTTGAATTTAATGCATGGTTGACTGCCAGTATAAGGTTAATATGTATTTTATAAACATCATATAATAGCATATTATAATTTATATTCGCCTCTATATTAAAATGAAAGATGAATAAAATACATTTTTCAAAGTGCCTATTGATTCTGTTCACCCTACTTCACTTTCCTCTTAAGAATGTTGTATTCAATTGCTTTAAGAATGAATATGTATCATTAGCAAATTTACATATGTACTTTAATTTTATATTTCCCACGCTATTTATATCGTATTTTTGTATATAATTGTTTAATTTAACATTGTATGTACAAAATGAAACGTAATAAGTATATAAATTTTACTTTTAATGTTTAAACAATTTTACCATTTCCAGATAAATCTGTGCATTTTTAAATATTATATATGGCCTAATATTAATTTTCTATTACTATCATGCTTATTATCCCTTTTATCAATACAATCATTACACATATTTAATGAATTGACAAATTGAAAAATAAGTTGTTGACGAGTTTTTCATTTATATGAATTTATAAAACCTATAAGAGTATGTGGGATGTATTGAATTATCAGTCACAATGTTCAAATTGGAATCATATATAACACCAGTGATTCTCAGTTATGTTGAAAAATATGTGAAGAATTTTAAGCCAGAACAATCTCAGGTATGTCACTCTTATAACATGATTATATTTTTTTAAAATATACTATTTTAGTTTTGGAAGAACAACTTAATCTTCCTTTTGTGTTTGTTAGTGGTCATATACATGAGTTGCTTATTCATGTTCCATGGGTAAAAATTACTTCAGAACCAATTGTTATTACAATTAATACAATAGGTAGATATTGAACAATATGTTTTAAGTTCATGGTAACACCACATGTACAAAAATAAAATTTGAATGTTTATTTTAGAATGTATCTTAAAATTAAAAGATGATAATAAAGTGGAGACCAATCCATCTGCCTTGCAGAGGAGGCAAGAGATACCACAGTAAGCAATTTTCTACCACTATCGCAATATTTAATGTTATATATATTCTTATTTATTGTTACACCATTTCTAGGGAAGAAGCACCTCCTGGGTACATAAAAAGCATTGTAACAAAAGTTGTAAATAACATAACAATTAACTGTAATAATTTAATTCTAAAGTATGTGGAGGAAGATATTGTTCTTAGTGTCAATGTCAGATTTTTAAGTATGCAAACTGTTGATAACAAATGGGAACCAGCATTTACTGGTATATATCTCATGCTACATTGCTAAAATATACCAGACAACATATTTCAATTTTATTTTTATATGTATGTATATTTGCAGATGTTAATGCCTATGAAGTTATGCTTAGGAAAGTTATTACTATTCAAGACCTAACATTATGTTTAGATAAAATGGATGCCTCTGGAAAAATAGAAATATATCAAGTATTAATTTTTCGTTATAGTACAGTATATATTTTACATCGCAAAATGTATAAATATATTATTTCGTTGTCTAGGATCCCGTTCTGTATCGATGTTCGGTTATAATACGCTTAATCATAAACTACCACAGTAATACCGCAAGAAAAGCTTCCATAACACGATTGGATCTGCACTGTCAAAAGATGGAGTTTAGCATAACAGAGCAACAAGTACCAATGTTGCTCAGATTAGCTGCATTGATAATGGCTTTGCAAACTAAACAATTCCCATCCAGTAAAGAAAAATCTTCAATTTCTGCAGAAGAAAGGGAAGACAGTATACAAGGTTTTGATATTATTCTATAAAATATTACTCTACATTACAATTACACTTCTCATTATTTAATAATGTTGTAGATGATATAGATCATGCAAGTGGTGCTGCTGTAGACAATACAGGATGGGGTGGATGGGCTTGGAACATGATGTCATCTTTGTTACCCATTGATTGGGATAATGATTGGTCTGCAGAACAACAAATGGCATATTCTGGTCATACTATCCATTTAGGCATATATGTACAAGATGCTACTTTAACTTTTAAGGTACTTATTGGAATTAAAACGCGGGACAAAATAATATTATAAAAATTGAACGTTTTTTTTATAGACAGTTGAAAATGTTAAAGAGCAATTATTTTATAAATCCCGTAAGCTTCGATATAAATCGTTTCTAACATTGCGATTACATGGTGTAGTAGTCGACACATTGATTCAAGGAATTGCAATGACTAGTTTTCAAATTGAAATGGGTTGTATACGCATATATCCAAGGGGAACATGTAGTTGTGGACACCTTGAAGTAGTTGATGGAGCACAAGTAATACTTTATAAGTACACCTTTTTCTTTTTTAAATTTTTTATTCAAATTAAAAAGACTAACGTAACAAATGATTTTTGTTTAGCCGCCTTTGTATTTAGTAGCTGGCAAATTGAATACACAATACTTGAAAGATTCATTATTCGATAATAACTCGGTAGAAAACAAAGGGAAAAAAAGAGAGTATAAGCAAGGAATATATTATTATTTACACACAGTTTCAGGTAACACAATTCTAATTTTATATATCGATTAATTGGGATTTATGCAAAAAGAATTTACTGGAAACATTTTTAGAAGAGCGACTGATAGAACGGTGTCCTGCATTTGCTATGGACTATGTCCATTGTGTTGAATTACCAGATGACATAACGCCTGAAAAATTGGTAGAATTTGGGTCTAATTTTGAATATAGGTAACCAGACTTAATTATCATAATTTTAGAAAAAATCTAACAAACGTAAATCTACATTTGTTTAATTTTTGCAGCAATTTTCACGAACGTAGAGTAATGAGGTATATTATAGGCGATTTAACTATTAGACTATGTTCAGGTATTTTTCACCGTATCGAAACGATAAAACAAGCTGCCGCAAATTACGATTACAATCCGTATCTTGTTACGAAACCAGGTATGAGCATAATTATATTTATGTTAAATAATTAAAAGGTATTTAAAAACTCATTATTCCTAAATTATTAGATCCACTCGTGGATGAACTACCACCAGTTACATTAGAAGAATACGAAGCCTTACGAGAAAATGTATCAATGGTCGAGACGAAATTAAAAATAATGAAAGCATCTCTTCAATTACAATTAGCCGATCATTCTATAACCGGGCTACCAAGACAACGAAAAATGGTTGAAAGCCACCTGCTCTTACAGACGATCCTTTCATGAGCATTGAATGCGATGAAGCAATAGTGACAATGCTTCAACCTTTATATCCATTTAGGCTTGCAGCTTGTGCATCCAAGCAAACAGATCTTCTGGCAGAAATGTTCAATCAGTGTCATAAGATTATCACATTACAGGTAATTAAAAAAATGTTAACAAAATATATATATGTGTGTGTAATCTTCCTTATAGTAATAATACATTTAACCAGGTGAATGGAGCAAGAAGTCAACTTTATTTAACAAAAAATTGCGATACATCGATAATAATGCCTTACTCGATTGAATGTAATATCAAAAAATTACTGTATCCTCAGTACTGGCTAGATGTTGATTTAATATATGAAACGTACGCGGTACATATGGACAGTATTACAATCACTGGAACAAAAGCAAAATTAATGGTTGCCATGTCCATTCTGACTTCAATTTTCTATCCTAATGACACAACTAATCCTCTGGTGTGTTCCTCTTTATTTAATGACGCCTGTGAAGAGACAAGTATGCATCACAATGATAATACATATTGTTCGATCGATTAACCGATAATTTTTAATTAACATAACGTTCTATTACAAATATTTCAGATCCTATATATCTAGAATTATTACTAGAAAACGTAAATTGTAAAAAGTTGTCGTCTTTAGTTACAATATCAAATGAATTAAATATAAGTTCGATAAAAATGTTCGCTCTTAACGAGACACAGCAGGCCTTTATATTTTCAGGACCAGAAAGTAACATTCATAGGTTCGTACTTATTATAAACTATTTTATAAATAAAAATTATGTTAATAACGTTTTTTTTGCTTCTAGTGATGCAGAAACTAAATCGTTACTCACAGCTGTAGTACAATTTCCGCAAGATGTTGAAAGGCAAACGCATCCACCTTTGATTTCACTTCAAATGGCAGATATCAGAGCATCGCTTGATCCACTGTTGTTTAAGTGGCTTGAGTATCGCGTCACATATTATAATTTAAACACTTTGTGCACAACGCGACCCGAAGTGCAACAACATGTAGAAGGCACATCTTCTGATACTGGTACAAAGAAAAAAACATTTCCCAGTTTGCACGAAAGCGTGCACAGTTCTTCGGATAAAGAGAAACGAAAATCAATCGTAGCGACTGAAAAATCACAGACTCTACAAAATGACGAAATTAAAAAAAAACACGATTCTAAATCTGAAAATGAGAGACAGGTACATTGCTCGATTATTTAACTCAATAATGGTGAAGCTTCAAGTAACATTTAATGATATTAACCATTTTTTTTATTAGTTATTTTTATAATTTTCCTATTATAAAAAATTAATCTGTGGTAGAACTTACAGAATTTGGGAATATTGGTCAGATTAGCAGAACTGTATCCATGGTGGTGTGGTCTTGTTTTAAGTGGATGTGTTGGACATATTGTTATTTACATACCATCAACTACAATGAATGGTGTTGGTTCATATGGTAGGTAAATACATAAGCTTGATAAATTATATATTTCCAGCTTTTCGTAATACTGATTTTCATCGTTTAATTTAGGTATAGAGGAAGCCAAGGACAGAGCGTTAAAAAACGATAATAATTTACAAATGTTAATAATCAAATTGCCTACTCTTCTTGTTCACTCGTCCAATATCAGTTCTGAATTACTCACGCCTTATCTTCAGGAATTACCAATAAAACTACCGAAATCGATGTGGACAAATAGTAAGTAAAAAACAAAATACACGGTAGAACATTATTTTCACGAATGTTTATTTCAGAATTACAAAGTTATCCATGGATGTTGAGTCTCGTTGATTTTCATTGTTACATGTTACAACAACAAACGCAAAAGAACTTCATTAAAAAAGTATCGTTAAATGCTACGGTTGCTCTTACAACTAAAGTCGTAACATCTCCATCAGGCGGAAGTACACTGACTTCGTTGGGTGTTTGCGTTCATATTGACAATTCTCCTATTATCGTTTCGATCTGTGAAGAACAGGTATTGTAATAATGAATACTCAGAATACATTGTTGTACAGCTATATGAAACATTTTCACTTTAGGTAGTTTTCATGAGCAAAATAATATCGAGTATTCTGAGCGCGTTGCGAGATACAGGCAGTAATAATAAAAGTGTTGTAGTTAGTACTCAAATAAGTACCGAAACACAAGTTGTTCTCCCTATCATACCACAAACACCATCCACACCGACGCAATTACTATACCCCGAAGATACAACTACAAACTCGACAATTTCAACCTCGAAAGATGACTCTATACAAGGTATCCTATAATAAAAATAATGTCCCATATACATATATTTATGTATAATATTATACTTTTTTATAGATACAGACGAACTAGTTTTAACAGCATGGATTCAGTGGACCATAACGAAGATCGCGGTGAAATTATACGTCACGGAGAAGGAAAATTTGTCCTCGTTAAAATTAGTCGTTGACTTAGAAGATATCATTACTTCTTTAGACTTACAACCTGTCTATTTTAAATTAAAAAATAAAGTTACGACAGTCACTGTATTTCATTATACGAGGTACACAATTCAACGAGGAAGTAATTTGTGTAATTTTCATTAAATAAGCGCTAAAAACAATTTTTCAACAGAGCACCGAATTCAACAACTTGGGACATCGGTGAGTACGTAGGAACGGTTCTTTGTGGAAGGGAGGATAATTTAGAAAAAGGTGATGATTCTGGCTTCTTCAGCTTCACCTTAACTAGAGCAAAATCAGGAAACGTTCATACACGATGGGGTACATATAAACGGCACAAAAGTCAAAAGGTATTTCATGCTAAAGAATAAATTAATTTTTTCGTAATATTCCATATACTTTTAATCTTTCAGAAGGATATAATGGCAGAAATAAACTTGTCTGCTAACAGTTACATTTCTGAAGTGGTTGTAAAAATGCAAATGGTGGACATCATTTTGCCTCTTACCATACTAAGCAAATATATGCAATTAGTAAAGCCTTTCACGTGTTTCTATCAGTCCGTTGAAACAAGTACTGCTGAAAGTTCTGAACCAAATGTGACGCCAGGCTTAAACAGGATCACTAGTCTTGATAATGAAACATTAGCATTACTATATCTAGACTTTAAAGGACTTAGATTGATGCTACCAGCCTCGAACATCGTAAAAGTCAAACCGCAACACGATCTACTGATGCTTCAATTAGACGGAATCCGCATTACACCACACGCTGAGAATCCGATTTGCAGAACACCTTTAAGATTAGACATATATCAACTTGCAGCTCAAGCAAATATTTTAAATATACCAGGCTCTGCTGTGGAAGATCGACAATATCAAATTAATATAAAAAGCATATGCGCCCACACGACTACTTGGAAGAATTATCAAATGAGTATTAATAAAAAAGTGTCTCAATCATATCTATACACCATGAACGAAAATCCTGCGTTAGAGTGGAATAAACTTGGACACGGAAGTAGTTTAGAACGACAGTTCTCCACACTTCCGTTATTATCGAAGTTTGATTTATGCCTAATTATTGCTCCACCAGTTTTATTCAAACCAGATGTAACGGTATGTGGAAGTGCAGTCGAAGTGAATTGTATCACAGATATTGAATTAACAATTAACTTAGACCAGATTCATTTGTTTTCAATCCTGTATAACGATTTGCAAAATTTATTGCTGGGCAATTTTAATCAAGAGGAATATACGACCACTTATAGCAATGCAACACAGAAGCCTTCGACCTTACAGCATCAAACTAACATGAAACAAATCACTTGGACGAAGCAATCTTCCAATGATATAGATGTTGATTTCACTAAAGACAGTGGCGTAGACTTTGAGACATCCAGCGTAAATTCTACGGTTGTTGGTAAACCAACATCGTTAGACACCTCGATACTCTTACCCTTTGAATTCCTAGTGAACTGTGGGAAAATAACATTCGTTCTTTACGACATTCATCAAGCAACAACAGAGTACGAAGTCGATATAAATGAAGTTGAAGAAGATGAGGGTGAAAGCCAAAAGCAACCTTTATTATACGTAATAGTAAATCAACCGAACATATATTTTTCACAACAGCATCCATCGCAAAAGATACATGTATCGTGCTTCGATATAACGATGGCACTCGGAGAGAAAGAAAATCAAGAATTAATTGCAATACCAACACAAAAAGATTTCAAGGTTTTTATGATCGAAACGAAGAATGGTGATTTACACCCGGATACAGGCATTCCACCATCGTTTATAACGTTGAAATATGAAAAAACTTTGGGGAAAAATTCACAGTTCTTTATCGACATGGGTAGACCTACAAAATTTTATTTCTCTTTATCAAGATTGAATCAGATTCGTACTATAATGCGTGAAATATTGTCTTCTATCGTAAATCAACATGAAACAACGGAATCAGAACAACGTGACGATGTTAAAACACCCTCAATAACGAAATCGAGAAAGATGAATTGGCCTGACTTGAATATATGTACAAAACAAGTTGTACTGTCTCTTAAAACCGATTCTGGTGCTGAAATAGTAATCAGTTTGGCTTCATTATCCGAAAACGTTTCATCCCTTCTTAGACCTGATAGAATCTACTCTAATATGTCTGTAGATTCTTTTATCGTATCTGCAACACTTAATGGGAATATAAAAGTACTCTTGCATCCATGGTGCTGTAACATTACAATGTGTTTACTTTGGGAGACATGGCTGAACGTTAACTCTATCCCTCAGATACAAATTCAGGCAGACAGCGATAGTCTCTATTTAGATTTCGGGCCGGAACAGATAAAAATTATAAAAAATGTCATGAAAGATTGTCAATTGTTGTTAAGTGAACTAACAACATGTCCCTCAAAGAACAAAAACAATGAAAACCAAATTGTACTTTCAACTGAGCAGCATTACAAAGACGATCTAAAAGCAGGTGCATTTCAATTTGTTAATGGGAATGCAGATGAGTTACCATTTCCGTATCAAGTTATATTTTTCACTTATCCTCAACAATCAATGGCCTGGAGATACCCTCAACCCAGAACATTGACAAAAATACATGTATCTCCAGTTCCATTCGAAACATTGGATTCTGAGAGTGGATACGTTGACAAAGTATTTTGCGTTCTTGAATATTGGAGCGATTGTCACATGTCGTATCAGCGATACGCTGACTTTTATTTGTCAGAAACCGATTCGTACCGCTTAGAGCTTCCTGAGAAATCTCCTGCAAGAGCAGTAGCTTGTATATGGCGTGTGGTTCTATTGTCAAATAATAATCGACCCATTTCTAAAACAATAATCTCTGCTCGTGTCCTGGCAGCATGTTTACGCATCGATTCATACTTCAATTCCTCAATTATACCTAACGTACAAGCTGCACTCAATATCGGTGCCATTCATGTGTCTATGTACAATCATGTCAGTTCGACAATGTACAACAATTTGCACCCACCTCTGAAGAACTATACTTTCAAGGGTACAATACCTGAAACTCAATGTTTCATGACTTTGGAACATAAAGGAGCTATCCTGGTACTTAACAGTTGGATAGATGGTTCAATGCTGATTGATATTAGCGGTACATTCGGTGTACACATATTAGATTATGGTCATTTGACTATGCAAGAGATACTAGATCCTGTAGAAGCGAGATTCCAACTCTCGCTGTCACATAAAGCGGATGTATCCTTAACGTGTAGTCCATTATCGTTAAAACTGAGTCCAACGATAGCTCACACACTGGCTGTTTCGATGCATTTATGGTATGCGGCCCTTAAAGAAGAAAGTAAGAGTGCCATTCTGTTCACGCGTTATGTAGTAGCTAACGATAGCAATATGCCTATTCTTTTTGGTCAAAGTGGTACAGGAGAGAATATACTACTGGAGAGTAGAGAATGCACATTTTATTCGTGGAGAAATATTGGCAATAAAATGTTACGAATTGCGATACAAGAAAATATCTGGTTGTGGAGCAAACCATTCTCTGTCGGCGTAGATGGAATCCAGGCTGTTGAGTTCAGTAACTCTGTAACTAAAGCGGCTGCATTCGTAAGCGTCATATCACTCTCTGCAACTCAAAAGCTTGTAACAGTCTCTGGTCAACTAGTGATTTCCAATCAATTAACCGACAATTTCGAGATGAAATTAGTTAAGTACGAAGCTGAGATTGAGTCAAAGGTGACTGTACTGAAAGATGTGTATCCAGTTTCTGGTAAAAGTCGACCACCTTCCGTCATACTCGATGGAAACAAGAAAATGGCGATACGTTTGCGTTTCACCACTGTACCACATCTGTCTTGGACAGGGGACATTCCTCTTCAGCCTAACGTTAAATGGGGGCAGCCGTGGCTCGTTAAAGTTCCGTTACAAGAACGTGGACAATTTTTAAGCATTTGGGTTAGAATAGTAACCCAAACGATTCAGGATAAGACAAAAATACTAGCTGTACTCAGTCCACTTTACATGATTCGTTCGCATTTACCGGTACCAGCTAGAGTACAAATGGACACACCTTCGTTGAAGATATCTTTGAGTACAATGGTGAATGGTCGAGGTGAACGACAGCAGCTGTATTGCCCTGGAACATTTGAACACTTTCATCAGCTAACGTTTCAATTAGAATCTGGTGTTTCTACATCTAATCCATACGTACCACTGTCTTACAGCTCTGTGGACCAAAGAAAATTCTTCAGAAGACCCGAGATTGAAGATATCGATGGTATTTTACAAGATCTTGAAAGTCAAAAGGATGAGACAGAATGGCCTTTCCAAGGGGACGTGGTTGAGGAATGGACATCCGCGGAACAGCCTCAAACACATGTACAAGTAAAATATCAGGATGCTGGATTAGTCTCAAGTACCCTGCTATTAGAGCTGCAACCTTGGTGTTTCATGTTAAATTCGATGGGATGTCATCTATCTCTCGTGTCAGAGGACATTGAACTCTGTCAGATACCTCACTACGGTATAGTAACACCGCCAAAGTTGGAAGGTACATTCCATTTATGCGTTGGTATTGGCGACACATTCTACACGTCCCACGCTCTTCAATTAGCTCGACCTGACTGGAGTCAAAGTTTCTACATGCCAAGAATCGGTGGACTTATTCCCGTTGAAGGAAACGTTAAATCCTGTGTCGATTGTGGATCGAGCATTTCAATTATGAGCATCAATTCGGGTATGCACGAAGATATGCGGCTGGTGCGGATCATAAGTAGCCACGTTATTAGTAATTTAACTTCTCAGGAATTATGCATTGCTACATTAGCAGTACACGAAGATGCAACTAGACTGGAATTACCCAATGATCTTACTCCATTCAGCCTTAACATTCCTCCCTCTGAAGATCAGAAACAAGGCATACCAATTATACAGTGGTACACATTGTACATGGAAGATGTTGTAGAGCCTCTTGCTCTTTATATATCTCTCAGTTTAGGACACAAATGGTCCTGTCCAGTTCGAGTAGATCAGGCTATGAGTCGTAAATGCATTGCCATTCCAAATGGCTCTAGCACTATGCCAGTAGTCATTACAATACAGGAGGATAAAGGGGTAACATACATAATGATTCATAATGATCATCATCCTCAGCTATTGATTGAGAATACATGTGCTTTCAAGATTCTACTGGGTCAGGCTAATGAAACAGCTGAAGGGATAATACCAGACACTTCACACTTTATGTGGATCTGTGAAATTGAGAGCAATGCAACATATCACTATTCCATTCCTTCTGTCAGCAATAGACTACCCGATGTACCAGTTACAAACACGTCAAATGTATTATTATTTTCTGCTGTGACCAGTCATAATGAGCAAGTAACAAGGAGTAAAGAATTACGATGGTCACGGGGTATAAATTTATCTACAATATCAAGTGTACCAATGGATCAGTATGTAAGGCTACCATCCTACGGAGATGTGAAACTGATCATGCAGAATCGTTGTTACACCACGTATATTAGTATCGTTCCAATATCGCAAGTGGAGGTGTCTGCACGAGATATCAGAAGTCGACTTCTGAGGAAAGAAAACGACACGAACGATGCAGAAACGATGCACGATAAATTTACTAGTGATCAGGATGACGATCAGGCAGTTATAAACATACATAGTTCTGAAAGCTCGACTTCAGTAGCAACTTTCTTCTCTGCTCGTGATGAGAGCATAACTACAGAACTGAAAGCTCCTTCACAAATGAATTTGCAACATTTAATGAGAGATATAGACAGTGTGAAAGTTAACATGAACGATGATGGCAAGAACAGCGAGGAGAATAATTGTAAAGAAGGTTCTGCGACTGTTTGTCTTCGTGGAGTGACAATCATTATCATGCACGACATGAATGAGAATGCTCAGAGAATCGAGATAGCTAGCTTGTCTATGACTGACGTTATAGTTACTGTCACTGCAAGAAGTAGAACCGTAAATTTACACGCTTTTGTAGGTGATCTACAGTTGGATAATCAACTGTTTGATCAAGGGGGTTTTGATTTTCCAGTGGTATTGATCAGCCAAAGTCCACTTCTTACAAAAGGGACAGCATTTTATTCTAACAATTGTTTATTAAATAAAATAGAACAAATAAGAGAGAACTCGTTGATAGTGATTGATTATGTTCTAGAAAATCAGGGACAGTTGAAAGGTATTTAACAGTATTCTTAAACATTCAATTAATTTCTTCGTTTTTATAAATATTAACTTATCTCTAATGTTATTTCAGCATCGAAAGATCTTCATTTAAAAATTGCCCCAATTAGTGCATACATTGAAGATACATACATTACACAATTATTGAATTATGCTACTTCAATGGTACCGCCTCGATTTTTGGTATCAGATGATTCAAAGAAAGCAAGAACATTACTTTCAACTATTGGAGTGTACATTCCTGATTATATAATGGTTGACACAAAAATATTAAGTGCCCCATTAAGGTTACAAAATTTAAAGATAGACCCTGTATCTATCTTATTAAGTGTTCATACTTCTGTACGTTTATACGTGGCTTTAGATCATTCTCCCTTATACTTTGGAACTTTTGAAAAGAAGAATATTTTAACTACACCTTACAGACTTGGCAATGCACTTACAATGCATTACTTATCTGGTGCCATATTTGGAGCAGGTATAAAGATCATATTACTTCAATCTTTCAGCGTTACGAATATTAAATTTTAATGTTATAAAACGTTTTCACATTAGGATGGGTAGTAGGGTCTTTAGAAATATTAGGTTCACCAGGAAGCTTGGCACAAGCTCTTGGTTCAGGACTTCGAGATTTTATTTCACTTCCATTCCAAGGTTTATTGCAAGGACCATGGGGTTTTATTGTTGGAATAACCCATGGTTCAGCCAGTTTAATGAGACACGTTACTGCAGGTATTAATGTTATAAAACTTGCGTACTTTACAGTGCTATAAAAGCATTAATTTCACATAGGTACCCTAAACTCGGTAACGAAGCTAGCATCCAGCGTAGCACGAAATTTAGATCGTCTAACACTCGATGAGGAACATCTTCAACGACAAGAAGAGTCGCGAAGAATGCGTCCTCAAGGAATGGCACAAGGACTGTACCAAGGCTTGACTGGACTTGGAATGAGTCTTCTTGGTATGTAAAAATATTCTTTTCATTGCATTGTTCTATATTAACAAATTTTTTTATTTATTTAGCTGCTGTTGCTGGCCTGGCACATCATCCTTTGCAACAAGTATGGTCAGGAGAAGTGACTACTAAAAGTCTTGTCACTGGTGTTGGACTTGGATTAGTTGGAGTAGTTACTAAGCCTTTGAGTGGAGCTGCAGAATTAGTTGCATTAACTGGACAGGGATTGCTTCAAGGAGCTGGCTGGAATTCTTTGCCTTCGGTATATGACTTTACAAAACTTGTCTCAAATATAGCTAATAAAATGAATTATTAATAGCAAGTTTTTTTTACAGCCACGACAACGACCAGTGGTTCAATATACGTCCGGAAATAATAAGGCATCTATTAGATACGCTTGGTGGCCACTACCCGTACTCGAAAATAATCATGAGAATATTCTACACGTTGCTAATGCAGATTTTGTGATCCAACAAGGCAGTAGTCGTGCAGTAACGTTAGTTTTAACAAGACATGCATTGTTACTACTTAATGCAGCCGAAGATAGCGTAGAACGAATATTTTTATTGAGAGATCTAACAAGTGCTGATCATCACTTGGAATCAACAATATGTTTGTACCGTTCCCCAAAGACCGCACAGACTAACAGGTCTATCTCTTCAGCACCATACGAGGTATAAATTGTATTATTTCATAATTGAAGTATAATATAACGTGGATACTTAAGATTTCTTTGTTCATAGATGGATCAAGAAATGCGAGCACGAGTAGCGGAATACGTACGAACTAGTAGCACTGGCTTAGCCAGCGTTTCTACTAACAGCGATGGACAGTCGGACAGTTATGAAAATACCACTCCTAATTCCGACCGTACACTTACGTTTTACGTATCCCCGGATTCGCGCAATTATTTATTATCGTTATTTAATATCGCTAAAAGACAAAATCAGGGTAGTGGATTTAGAGTATTATAATAAATAGACAGAACATGTTAGATTATTTTCTTGTATCTGGAAGCTATAGGAAGAGTAATTAACGCTACTAAAAATGAAAAGTGATAAAACAAAGTATTACGCTATGGATTAGAAAATTGTTTGGGAAGTGTAATGCGTGAAACAAGTCCGAATTATGCGAAATTTATATGTACATATCCATCGTGATATTTTTGACTTTATTCTGAGTAATGTTTAAATTTTACTTCGCGAAAATGTTCCATAATATGTTGCACAGAACGAAAATATGCACAATTTAAAGAAACGCTCCTACATGAGAGATGTTTTTTCAATTTTTATAATGAAATTTGTACGAAGAAAAATTGTCTACAGTGTTTGTTTATTAAATGATGTATAATGTACATATTGTAGAAAAATCACGATAGTATATATACAAATTTATGTGTGATCAACGCATTTTGATTTATATATATATTCTGTGCATGATTTTCATATATTGTGATTGGCATAGATAAGACTTGTAATACAATCAATGGATATTCGGTTAAGGATAAATTTTTGTGACTTAATAATCTAATGGAACTTTATTTGCTTAAAATTTGATATGTACGAACTGAAGTTCATAGAACGCAATAAAGTGTAAAAAATTTTATATATTTATTAAAAATTATAATTACATTTTATTTACAACATTTAATGTAAAGCATCAACAACTAATAATCTAAGAGCATAATTAATATGAGAAAATAATTTAATCTATTCGTGAAACCGTTCTATTTCGCTATTTTTATAAGGTGTACCGCAAGTTGTGCATTGATTATTTTCAATAGATGTTAGAACTTTCCTACATAATACATGTTTGCATGGAAGCCGATAAAAAGTGCCACTAGGGCAACAGGAACAACTATTTAATGTAGGACTTGAATCATTCTTCTCTGGTATGTTATTAAAACGTTTTAAATGAGGTACTGCTGTATTAAGATCAAACTCTGTTTCATTATCATCAGTCAAGTCCACTACATCAGTAGAATCATCTCTTTTTTCACTTTCTACTTCTTTGCACACTGGTACAGAAGAACTAGCAGTCATTCTTCTCTTTGCTAAGTTAGTTAAAGTAGAAGTACTTCGTTTTTGAGACATTACAACAACTGGTAGTTTATGGCAGACTTTCTTACGTGCTTGTATATTTGATACTGCAGAACAAGGCAGCTTTGGTTTAGTATTACTTACAGTTCTATTTATCATACTCCTCTTTAATACATATTTAGGAACTTCTGCTACTTTTTTGTGTGTTACATTCAAAGGTGCTGCACGGCCTAAAACTCTTGGCAATTTCTTAATTTCTTCCATATTGCTATTTTCCAATAAAAATTTATCTATTCTTATTTTTAAAGCACTTGCTATAACAGGTTTGCGATCTTCACTAAATGGTAAACCAGTGAAGGGGTCTGTTAATCTTCTTCCCCATAGTGCTTCAGTTTCCTCATGTTTTAATAATGTACTCTGATCAATTATTTTTCCACTTGGCAATAAAATTGGCTGTGTCATGATTTCATAAGTAATAGCATCTAAGAAACATTCTGGAACTTGTAAAGATGATTCTAATGTTTCTCTAAAACAGTTACAATGCATTTGTAGATTAAATAAATGATATACATTGTATTTCTATACTCAATACAAGAAATAAGTTTTTATTTACTTGCTATCTGTAGTAGTAACAGGTAAATTAGAGACCTCAGATTTTTCCACAGATTCAATTATGGATGATTGTTGTTTGGACCACAAAGTAAAAACACTAGCCACTGTGTCTTTTCCACAACGTGGTGACACTGTTCCCCATACTTCAATCTTACCTAATGCAGGTACTGAATTTTCTGTTTTGCATATGCATATTCTTAAACTGCTTATATATGTTGACAAGTAACGCAAAGAAGGTTTTATATAGCGTTTTAAGAAGTTTGGAGGAACAGAAATTGTTTCAGGATTAACAGTAGATGGATAAAATAGCAATCCAGTATTTGAGGAATCCAAAAATCCATTAGCTAATAAAGAATAAGGCACACTGTTGTCATTACTTGTTTTGGCATATAATTGAAAACCTGATGACTTTTGTAAACCAACTTGTGGCCAAATTAAAATATGGCTAACACATATATTGCACAAAAAAGTAATATCAATATTTACAGGAGGCTTAATACAAGCATAAGCTAAAAATCCTTTGTCAGAATCATTTATTAAATTGGTGACTTCATATCCTTCTGTGCTAACAGTACTACACTGAATTTCTGGCCTCAAACGAGAATCACAAAAGTTAAAAAACATTTCTGCGCTTTAAGAACGTACATAACATTCTTCGGAGAAGTTTATAATTTTAAATTAACATACATCGAATTTACGTGTCATTTTTAGGAACTGAAACTTCACAATCTATCAGATTGTCACACTGTAATCTAAGCTTAGGTTAGTATCTTTCAGTATGAAGCGCGTTGAACCTGTAAGTGGGGTGTAAAAGCACGTGTACGGAAAAAGTAAATTTTTGACTGAAAATAGTTGTTATTGTTAAACAAAATGGGAGAAGGACCGATTAGAATGGTTATAGATGAGAGTATAAAAGAAACAGAGGGTGATGTTCCAGAAATTAGTTACGAAGAAAAATTAAAATACACAAATCCTATCGCCAAACCTATGGCTCCAAAAAAATTAACCAAAAAAATTTATAAATGTATTAAAAAAGGTAATTTTTGTTAGAATTTAATTGTTTTTATTTAATTATATAATTTCATTCAATTATGATTTGTGAATCAAAAATTTTTCGTGAAACATACATAATGCGTATAATTTACAACATAACCATTTTAGCTTCAAAGCAGAAAACATTTCTTCGAAATGGTTTAAAAGATGTCCAGAAGCACCTTCGCAAGGGAGAAGTAGGGTAAAAAGAATTTTTAGTTACAACTGCACTTAAATATTATGATATAAGAAAATGTTTATATGAGTATTTGTGTTTTTCTTTCTAGATTGGTAGTCTTTGCTGGTGATGTATTTCCCATTGAAATTATGTGTCATTTACCAATTGTGTGCGAAGATAAAAGCATTCCATATTGTTACACTCCTTCAAGGCAAGATATTGGTAATGCTATGGGTGTGAAAAGAGGAAGCTTAATGGTACTTATTAAGGAACATTCAGAGTACAAAGATCTCTTTGAGGAAATCAAATCTTCAATGCTAAATTTATCAACACCACTATAGATTTATACTCTCTTATGCCTTTAACTATTTTGTAAATAGACTGAACGAATTTATACCTAAGGCAATGTCGTATCAGACATTACATGCTTTTATACAACTCTCTCAGTATAATAGTTTATTATATAAATTATAAGGAAATAATCAATCTATTTTCAATTAAAAGCCAGACATTAGGTTGTTACTTTTTTTCTTTTAATAAAAAAGGATATGTAATTGTGTGAAAAATGAACTGCAAATATTCATTATTACTTCCTTCCAATGCTAAAATGTAAATATATTGTTTTAAATACATGCAGTTGATTTCTGAACACAATTCTCGTATATACCAGTTTTAATTAAAAATTAGATTTATTTATCGCCTGTGCATTTCAAAATAGAATATTAAAATTTAGCTTAAGATAAAAATCATATTTCTCGAAGCGGCATGCATACATACGTATATACAGCTTTGCTTGCATTTTAGGCGGGTAAAATTAAATCTGACGTAGATGATACTTCGATTAACGGTCATCAAGCATCCGAAATTCAGTTGCTAGATTGTCACTTGAGACCTCCGAACAATCGCTTTTTTCTTTTAAAATTTCGCTCTCCGTGATTCTTAAGATATCTTTGAACGTGACTTCTAAAGATAATTACAAACCTTGACGTTGTTAAAGTCTGGTAATACTAATCACTTGCCTTCCGTTATATATTTATTAAATCGTGACGCGTTCAACCATTGGCGTACAGTGTTCGAATTTGAAAATGTATTCAGGAACATGAAGAATGAAGAGAAGTGATCGATCGTAAATATCGTCAAAGCAATAGAAAAAGGTTGAGTATATGAAATAGTTTAAAATTTAAAACGTAAAACGTGCTTCCACATCTTGATTTCAATATTATAAAGATTAAGAATCGTTAAATCGTATCTTTAGACGTGCGTCGAATTTTTCGAAAAGATTGAAATCGTTCCGTTTAAGTTATGGAACGTCGAAATATGAAATGTTCAAAATTACTTTACGACTTCTTAGACGATACCTATGCTTAAACCCTTAATCCGACCAAATTACTCTTAAAATTCAAACGTGCTAGTAACGGATTGATTAGTTTGTACGATTTGAAACAAAGGTCGCAATCGCAACAATCTTTCTCGGCTTAGGATCGAAGGCTTTGCGGGCGCGACAAATTTCGAATTGAAATTCGGGGAAAACAGAAAAATAGATGTAAGTACATACTTTGAAAAGTCAATTTCTACATTAGAAAACATGACAGTAGTAGAAAATACCTCTCTATTCGTCAACGTAAGTGATATTTTACGTTTTACAACAATTCTGGGATATCGTATTTACGAATTTAACGCCCGCAAACGCCTTGTACGCATGGACAAATAATATAACGTAACCTTTTTACAACGGTTCGAGAGGGAACTACGATTAAAATGCGCGGGAAAATTAAATCGTTTCGATCCTTTATCATTCTATACTTGTCTCCGTACATACAGCTGTATCCTTAATCCTACAATTACCGATGTCAGTATAAAATATACATTTAGGAGCGACGAAGAATAACATTGACATTAAAATTGACGTAGCGTACAAGTGGGACGTTATTCTCACCTTCGCCGGAACAGACGTACTCTCTTCGCGTATACGTTTTTCGTTAACTTCTTACAGATCGGGCAGTAATGCATCTTGTGACACGATACGTTGAAGTTTTCTTCTTCAACATCTTCGACGCGTGAATACGCGAATGCAACGCGAAGAACTCGATGTTACTTCAAAAATTTAAATTCGAACAATTTTTAAATTCGGTATTACATTCTAACCCGCGTTGAAATTTCACAAACACTTAACGTTACGCGCTTAACTGCGCACACACTCGTTCGTAAACACGGTGTAAAATTACGGATGGCTATACACGTTTTATTGGACTGTTCTCCGCGTGTTAGAATTTGAAGTTTTTTCTCTCTCGCGTTTTCTCCCATTCGTTCGATCATTCAAACATACTTTCATTACGCGACGATATATATATTGTATATGGAATCAAACGAATGACGATGATTACGACAAAAGGATGAACTAACGAGTATTAAACATCTGTAGTACCGACTGCTATCATTACAGATCGTTTTATGTTTAACCGAGGACTTTTATACGCGATCACGACCGGCCTTATCGACACACAATTACGCTTCTTCGATGCCGAGGACCAGGTTTGTGCCTTACAAAGTACAGGTCGCCAAGAAAATGTACAAGATACGCGAGGATTCACTCTTACACGAAAATGTCTGATAAAATTTCATCCTATACCTTACGAATGTTAAATCCTCGTAATTTTCTAGTTACGAATGATCAATTCTGTCACGTTACCTATGCAGCCTATTAATTATTCTTACCCACATAGTCTCGATTGATAATTCTAGCAGTAAAACCCATTACTGTGATCGATATGTTGCAGTTGTAGGACGATTCCACTTTACAACATCGATTGAACTGCACGTGTCCCCGTCATTTAATGGTAATCGACGTGAATAGTAATTTCGCTTAACCATAGATCGTTACAAAATAGTACAAATACGAAATTGTCTCCTCGTAATTCGAAGAAGACATAATCCGGTCGAAGGGGGAACTGAAGAGATGAAATATAGCCTGTCGTCGGATGCTGTACAAAGAATGTAAAAATCCGTGTCGATTTATCGATTAATAGTTACTTATTCCTTACAGAACTATATGTGCACCGCTTAGTATTGTTATGCTCTACTATGGACTAAAGCTATTGCTCGTTTTCTTCAGTCTAACACGCATCGATAAAAGTATGGCGGCGATCTTTATCGTCTATTGGAAACTTTTTTTTTCTTTACCTTCGATGGCCTGCCCGATTAAAATTCGTTTTTTTTTTCACCCTTTTCCCCCTTATCTTGTTCTTTGGTAAATTCAAATGGAAATTGTAGGGCGAAGGGAATTGGCGATTACAAGAATTGTCAAAGTAGCTGATAACTGTTCAAGGTTTCATACACGATTATAGGTAGAAAATACAATTCGGTTTCAACGTGTTCTGAAATTCTTCGTGATGTCTAGTTTTAATGTGTAATCAAATTCCTTTTTCTTTCTTTTCCAAGAAATTCAAAACAGTATTAACCTAAAAATTCCACAAAAGGACCATGACAGCCATCGAAATAACTGTTGTATAAAAATCACTGTTCACGTGATCAAAGTGGATGAGCAATTTGAAAGGTTCACGTTCTTCGTCGTAGAGGAACGTGCCGTGCTCACTGACGGACAATCGAATGCAAGGTGTTCTTCGACTTAAATCGTGACTCCTTCATCTGCGATTCGCATTTACCGTACGTTTTGGAAAAAAAAAAATGTAAAAAGAGAGAAAGACGTTAAAACTTTTTCCAGGTGATTACGGGAATCACCCATCTTTAGGGTCGCTGTGGCGGCAACGACGAATCGTCAACAAAAAGGCACCAACTTGTTCATATGTTCGCGTAGAAATGACGGACGCCCGTGTCAGGTTCTTTTAAAAGGATGGAAATAGCGTACATGTTCCTAAATAGGTACGTTAACGACAGCACGATGTCGGGTCTACTCTGAATTGTAGAAAAAATACGGTTGCACCGATTCTCTTGGAATTGTAGTCTGTATCATCACTTCTCCTTAGACATTGGACATTTTCCCAAGACAAAGAAAAAATGGAGAAAGAAAGAAGAAACACACACACACGCACACACATCAAGCAGAGAGATGTTTGCTCTGGACAAAAATTCATAAAGAATTGGAGGACCTATGTTTCTTTTTTTTCCTTTCATAAGCCTCCTCGTGTGTGCATAGATCGTGGTGTCTGCGTTTAACGTTCTTAAGTATAAATCTGTAGCAGTATCAAAATAGTAAAAATGGTGCATATGAAGACCATGAGCACTGGTAGGACCAAGATGAATCGGACAGAGCGGCGTAAGCCGCTAGGCTCTTGTCATACAACCTGTTCACCAGACTCAATCGAGTCGAACAGGGGTCGTTCAGCTTGTGGATCATTGTTTGCTGATGATGCTGTGCCTCCAGTACCGCTGGAACTTTCTCTCCTGGTCTTGCTAGAGCCTGAGAAGCATAGGCAACCAGATTGATTGCGGTTCCTCTTCAAGGTAGGCTTATTTTCGCGGTCCCTCTCCGCCAGACACTTTTGATAATAATCGTAATCCTTCAAATACCTTTTAGACAAACAATAATTCGTTGAAATTTTGTTACTTGACAATCGTTGAATTTTTTAGAAATCGTTCTCGAAATTAATCGTACCATACTGGAGGCCATCTATGTTCGTTGAGGTACTCCTGATTTTCCGGATGAAGAAGACGAACGCTTCGTGGTGACATCTTGCACAACTTGTTGTAATTCACACACAAGTGGTTCATGCACCAGTCAGCCAGCTGATCAGCATTATGCAACTGCAGTATGCAAATTAAAACGTTTGAGCTATCGAGAGAATTGAACTGATCGATCGTGGTACAGGTCACTGAAGAAAAAGCTGACCTTGCACGGTTCCAGTAGCCTCAGACAATTCTCCACGGCCTCATTTCCCTCGTTCTGAGACAATCTCTCGAGATCTTCGATTACTCTGCTCTCGACCAGGTTCACCAGCCGCTGTAAGCAGAGGCGATTTGCCAATTCTAAGAGGTTCAAGCACCTGGCAGAGGAAATTGCTGGCACCTCGTCCGTATAGAGATAACAGAGAAGCTTGTGAAACGTGTATTCGCGCACTCCAGGGAACACTATCTGTTAATCAAATATAATTGCGATTTAATTATCGTTGTACAGGATCGAATTTATAAGGAGTTCAAGAGACAAATTTACCACTTTTGCGCTACTTTCACGGAAATCACCGGAGAACATGGCTTTCATCACGTCACATCGGGCAGTGAGAATCGCTTTGTGGGCTGGGACACTTCCATCGTCCAGTTCAAACACCACATCGGCGAATAATCCTGGAAGAATGATAAGTTTTTAAATGAACAGTGTAAAAGAATTAACTTGATTTTTTTCAAATAACACTTTACCTTGTTCCAGGCAAATATCTTCCAGACGTTGCCTCACCACTTGCTTGTACCGATTATTCAGATCATTGCTGAGATCTCTGTTTTGCAAAGTTCCAAGCACTATCAGCAACTGTGGTAGCTCCAAGAACTCTGCTGCTTGCCTAATCTCCTGTACGTGAAAAAGAATTGGAATTAATCAATGCTCCTTTGGCATTGAAATGAATATGAAGTGAATTTTTAAGAGTCCAGTTTTATAATCATCAGCTGGAAGAAACTGGTGGTGTATCCATGCACCCATGATTATTGCAATGAAATCCCTCTATACATTAATGACACCTATCTCTAAAATATTAACTCAACATTCTTTACCTAAATTTGATATTCTGTATATAAGCTACTACTAAAGTACAAAGAATTACACACTGTTGTCGTCTGAACTTTATCATTGACTAGTTTGATTCTGATAAATAGAAACATGCTAGGATAGTGACGATTATGACAATGACCTAAACGAATCTCTGGAAAACGGTGAATCGATACTCTTCTCAACTAAAATGTCTCTACTATATGCGTGCGTGTGTATGTATACGTGTGTGTGTAATTGTACTAACCAGTAGAAGCCCGATAGGAGCTGTCTGAAAGAATAGAGCCGCGTTAGTTACCGTATACCGATGGAATCGTGTTTAAACTGATTATTTACACAAAGTATTCTCTCCATGTTAGAAAAAACATTTACTTTATCCATAAACATTTATCCCCTCCCGGCTAGGTAAAAATAGCAAAACCTTGCATCGATAATGATCAAATATTGATAAACTTCGTTCACACAATTCTCTGACAATGAAACACCTGCTACACTGACCTAATTACCCAACAAAAAGATTAACCCATCCCTTCCTCTTCTATTTACTCATGTTTACCGTGACCATATTTGTTGCAGGTAAACGTACAGCCGATGGAAAAGATACATCGATGTCGTAAAATCGTCCAGTCGTCAAAGGATACGTAATTCGAGCATCGAAAACAGAAGACTATAGTTCGAGGAAGATTAAGAAGCTCGAGCATCGTTAATGCTTTAATTTATCTACAACTTGACGAAATATCGGTTCCACCGACTGTACAAAAAGGTGGATGTACACAAGCTAACTGCGTCTGCATCGACTGAGGAAAGGAGAAAACTTCACGGGTGTACCTGCCCGCATAGAAAATTCTACCGACGCAACGTACTTGTAGATCTTGATACCGTTTATCCAAGTTGCCTGTGTAAATGAACTGCAAGCATTGCTGCAGCGCTTGAGGCGTGACCAGTTTCGACAGCGTTACCATTGTCGTCGGTTGTTGCATTCCATTTGGGTTTTCAGTCTGTAATTTAATTTAATTATTTGAAAGTATTTAATTTAAATATTTAATTTAATTATTAATTCATCCAAAATTGGTCCCTTAAGTATCTCCCTCAAATATGATGATAGAAAAAATATTTCATGTGTAATTTGAATGGCGACAGGGGACGTATACGCTGTGAAGAATATTTTAGTACCAAGGTCGTATTTTTTTTTTTATCTATTAAGTTGAATAAAGGGAAAAATTCTTATTGATTTATTTTCTTTCAATTTTGATGATTGCAGACATTTACCAGGCATACACGGATGTTCTGGAAGGCAGGATGATTGAGCTCCCTGGTCGCTCCAGCCGATTTCCTCTGGTTGTCCATCGTGGGCAGTACTTGAAAGCTTGAGCGCCGTTTTAGTTGCTCCCAAACTCTGTAACACAATTCAGACAATTCGTTCAACTGTGTGGAATACCGCCATTGCATCAGAATAGGACTTTGAGGAATTAGGTTGGAACACGCTTGAACAGATTTGCCGGATAAACTCACTTTGCGGGTTTTGATTGATCGATACGAATCAAGCACTCTGTGTCGTCATTGAAGTCGCCGACCGTTGCTTCTCCAAACGTGCTCACCTTAACGAAAAAGCATAAAAAAAATCCACTCTTATAAATGAGATAAGAAATATTTAAAAATAAATGGAAAATACCATGCTGGATTCGCTGGAACTTCGCGGTGTCTGTTCCTGGACGAGTTCCATTGAGAAAAGTCGATGGAACGCTGGCGATGCAGCGGCTAACAGACACCTATGAGCGGAGAAGCTGCAATTACCAGCTATCAGAGTCACGTCAGTGTGAACTGGCTTCGTCCACAGCGTTTTCATGTTCTCCTCGTAGGTGCTTACCGCTAGACACACTTCAGGTGGGACTGGCTTTGGTGGACAGAACGGTGCCTGTAGAAATAACGTAGAACGACTCGCTTAAATAATCTTCTACTATTCGCTATTCTCGGTTAAATCGGGAAAACTGAATTGGTGAGATTCTCCCGATTAAAATGAGTCCAAACACGACATAAATTAGAGTAGTTTTACGTAGTCGTCAATTTAAATATACCGGGTAACAATTGTTACAGGTACTTTAAAAATTGATTACTGTTAAAACTAGTCCGATTTCTGTCGTGTTTGGGCTCATTTTCAACGGAAGAATCTCGCCAATTCATTGATACTATCTTCACAAAGATGAGATCAAAATTATAGGAATTGAATTTTCGATATTGGATGATTCATTACATCGCAAGCGGTATCTAAAAGGTATATCCCTTCCCTTGTCGATGTGGTCAAATTTGCTTTGACACTGAGTGGTGGAAGAATAGTAGGGATGTTTCGTTTCAATTTAACCGAGCAGATTTCGTTTAAATTGACCGAAGCACGAATGTACATTTTCATTAGAATATTCTTCAAATACTTTTGCAGGGAAGATTTTAATTTCGTGAGAGCCCTCGTACCTGAAGCAGAGGCCTCTGCACCCTCTTCAAGTTCGTCATCCAGAATCGTTGCTGGCGCCGCGCGATTAGGGCGGCACGTATCGAGTTCTCGAAGACCTCGTTGACTCCGTAATAAGTGAAAACGCTGGTTTCATAGTAACAGACACCGAGTTCCCTAGCGACGGCCCGAGCTTGATCAGGCATCACCAAGTCGCTCTTTCTCGTTGCCCTGCAAAAACCATTCCAACCGTACCTATACATATTCCAAATGACATAATCCATAAAATTATCGTGACATAAAGTATCCTTCTAGAGGTAAAATTAACTGGAACGGTTATGACGAGGATCCTGAAAGTCACGATGAACTTTCACGATCCCTCGGGAGTCTCTTATATGTCAAGGCTCGGTTAATCCCGTTGTACCATTTAAAACGAGGCTGCAAATGCATCGGGGATCTGATAGGAGGCGTCGATAATGTTCTCGAGGCGGAAAAGGACAGTTTTTATTTGATAAGAGCGGTAAAAGCGACGACTGATCGGAAAGGCCTGCGGAGGCCCGGTGAAATCAATACTTTGACACACTTTGCCAAAGAGGCCGTTGTTGAAGGAGCATCGAATGCATTTGAACGAGCTCCATATAGGGTGAAAAAATCGATCTTGGAAAGGGCGTGTTGCTTCTAAATGCGGAAAGAGTTGGCTATAGGTATTGATGAGTGGACTTTGGATATTTATGCAATTATAACATATGAACATATGAACAAAATACATGAGAGTAACGTTAGAATCTCTTAAGAATCTCCTAAGCAACAAGCCATAAAACAGGGTGGTTCATAAGTCACTTTACCATTTAAAAATTGATAACTTTACTTCTATTATATTTAAAAAAAATTTTGTTTCAGATTTGGAAGAAATTTTATTCAATTTCTAAAAAACAAAGGAACTTATGGATCACCCTGTATGCTCACTAAGATTGCAACATTATTCTCATGTACTGAGACAGTAGATAACATACCTAACGAAAGGACTGCGGTCGCGGAAATAGCTTAAATACGTTTCATCTCGATACATGTAACGCAAGTCGTTCTTGCAGCCAACCAGCAACACCGGAGTCTGCGGACAGAACCGTCGTATTTCCGGATACCACATCGCCTTGCAGTTCCGTAAGGAAACAGGGTTCGTTATGGAGAAGCATAGCAACACGACGTCCGATCTGTATTCATGGATTTGAACGTTTTAACATTGATACGCGGATGACGAAGCTTGATAAGCTTAACTGGTAAGCTTTACCTTCCATAGGCGAAACGTCGATCCTTCTCGTGGTCACCAAACGTGTCCCAGAGACGCAGTGAAACGTTCACATTATCCACCACCTCCCAGGATCTCTCTAGGACCTGATAAATTAGTGCAAATCATAATTCTTCAATTTCATTGTTTTTCAGTGAAATCTATTACAAATGAAGATATCAGAGATAGAAAAAAAAAGGTAGATCTACTAAGGTTTCACCTTTCACGAGTGCATCGCTTCAAGCTCTGTCATATCCTACAAGTTCTACGGTAAAATATACGCAACCAAGGATAATACCAACTTAACCGCAGTGAACCAAGAAAGAAAAAAAAAGTAAATCTACTAGGGTTTCACTATCCGCAAGCTCATTGTCTGAAGCTCTATCATATGCCAGAGGTTCTACGGTGAAATGAATGGAAACTAAGAATGGTAGGGAAGTTAAACCATCGTTGTAAACCAACTTGGAAACTTACGTCCTTGTAGATTCTATACTGGTCGATGGCCCAGACAGTGGGCACGTGGGTCGTCAACAGTTGCGAGAGCGACACGTGTTTGTTACATGCCCTCGCACAGATCAGTCTGGTCTTTCCAACTGCTGTGTCCCCGACGACCACGCACTTGACCAGTTCCTGATGCGGCTGCTCATTGTCCATCACCGACAATCTCCCTTGTTCATCCAATACGCCCTCTCAGGTGCCAGATCGTCCGAACAAGCGGCTACCTCCGGTGCTACCGTTTCGCCAGATGAACGGCGCAACGTACACCACATCCGATCCCCAACGTGAACGATAACCGCGCTGATTCTCGCGGCTGGTTACGCGCTACGAACGCTGCAACTGGACGAAAAATTCGCGGGACAGAAATGGTCAGTGTCGATGCGTGCACGAGAATTCTGGAAAATAGTTTAATGGGAATCGTAGGGAAGAAGAAGAAGTAAAAAAGAAATTCGTGCAACAGAGGGGAATTCCTCACGTGAGGGTCGAACAGGTACCGGTTTGCATCGCGTGACCAATTGAATTATATAATGAACTTTACTCCATATAATGCGTTTGATCTTTCGTTGCGTGTTTGTGTCACTTGGAACGAGGGCTGATAATGTTGTTTTTTTTTGTTTCAGGTATGTAGGAGGTGTAACGAGATAGAAGTTGCAGTATTTAATATTTGAGATCTCTGCAGGGTTATTATGCTTCTGATATAATAATACGATAAGCAGGGTCACCAGTGGAATTGATTTTAGATGTATAAGAATAACTTAGAATGTAAATTATTCCTTCTGTTATAGGTGAAAGGAAATATTTATAAATTTCTTTATTTGTACTTTTGTTAATTTTCTTTACTTTAATGATACAAAAAAAAATTCGAATTTCACATTTTGTGGTTCTCCATGGTAATTAAGGTTAACAATTTCTCAATTGATCAATTAGGTTTTTTAAGGGATACAATTGTTCGTGAAAGAGGTTGCTTGTCACTGGTTTTAAAAAATGGTCGATAGAGACCGCCCCATGCATATTTAAGATGCTATCCCAGAGGTAAGGAGACGCTGACAATCATGCATACACGTGCAGACGAGAAGACGTTCAGTGATGTAGGCGTTAGGTATTTTAAGATTACGTGCAACGTTCAGATGTTCAGGCACCATGCGATATATATGTATACGCAGAATACCTATTGATTTGACCCCGTAAGCGCCTCCTCTATGTTTAGTATCGAACCTTCTCAACCTCAACCTAGCTATTACCTTAACCCTGAACCAAGGCATGGACACAGAGTTTGTCCGTTCACCACGAGCTCGAACCACAGGATGAACCTGGCTATGAACGCGACCATCGCTTTTAAACGAACTTCGAACCTTCGTTTACACTGGTTTGCACCGATTTTCATCGAAATTTACCAGCGTGTATTTATATCGAGCACGAAAGTCAGATATTTTCACGTCCGTGGCGTTCATTTAGTATAGATGGGTTAATCCGAGTGTCGAAACGAGGGGCTAATTCGCCACGAAATGGTCGAATAGATAAGCTCTAAGTATCGGTCTGGATTTCCCTTAATTTACCGATCCTTAACTATGCGGCTTTCGATTCCATTTGTAGGACCTAATTTCATGAAATCTTGATTACCTTATCTTTCATGCATTTAATTTGCTTCATTTTTTTTTAATATTTTTTTTAGGTTAGAAAGTAGAATGTTCAGTGGTGTCATCTGTAGTGGGGGAAGTATGGTCAGTTGACGTTGCACACAGGTTATAGATAATGTATCGCATTAAGAGGATTAAAATTTTATGCTAAAAAAAACCCAGTAAAACACTTCCTGCCAGAGGTAGAGTATGCAAATAATCTCGTGTGATCGGTTCAGTTTGATAAAGCATGTATAACGTGTCAAGTACAACTTAAATCGAGAGA